CGGTAACGTTAATTATTTTCATGTAACTCCCACAATTCTCTATTTCCTTTTGTCTCTTGTTCGTTCTAGCTCTGAAGAAGATCTGCATAGTTGGGGAGAAACGTCGGCTTACAATAAATAAAATGTTTTATTATTTTAAGTTTTTTTATGACCGCCACTCTGGACCATCTCCTTCTTCATTTATCAATATATGTTTTGAAATTCAACAATTTTTAAAAAAATTTATCCTTGGAGTGTAAGCGTCTGCTGGAATTATGCAGGTCGTTCCTAAATTCAGCATTAATCGCTGTTAAAAGTGATAAAAATGAGGTCAAAAATTTATATGATTGCCATTTAACATTGTCAACTACGAGCCTAAGTGGCTTATGTCATTATCGTGAAATCCTATAAAGATTTATATTCTAAGATTCTGGGTTTGTGTTAGTGACTAATTTATTTTTTGTTGCTTTGTTAATTCATTGTTATAATTTTTTTTAAACATTCTTACATATTTATCTTATTAAGAGATGATTCGTTTCTTATCACTCTGTACGTCTTAGTACTACTGTCATTGAACTGTTCTTACATTATGTCATCTACATTTCATTGTTAACAATTTTAACTTTCTTTCTTCCAGTTCTTGTATTATAGAGAAGGTATCTTTTAGAAGATTAATCGGTTGACATAGGTCGTTTTGAGTGAATATACCACTGACATGGAAGAGAGGCTTTCGAGGTGAAGTCACCCTTCTTTCGCTCCCAAAATTTTTTTTTTGTTATTGCTCCATAATTTTTTCTAGGAGTCATCTGAGCCAAATTTTCGAAATATCTTCTGTTTTGAACCATAACATGCCAGGATAACACCTGCAGAAGGCTCAATAGAAGCTGTAGGGAGATCTTCTCAACTAACCACAATTAATTAACAAGTTAATTCCAAAGAGATGCCAACGGGCACTTCCTTACGCTTACCATTGTCATACTATTGAAGATTAAAAAAACTACTAAGTAAGTGATGAAAACATCAACAAGACGAGATTGACAATATTAAATATAAATTATAAATAATAGCTGATTATAAATAAGATGAAATGATAAACATTTCCCTCGCTTACAGTATGCAGGTCAGATTATTTGTTTCTGTGAAATTTTAATCCATATCTTCAATAAAACCCGTTATCTTTTGACTTTTTATACTATATTTTTATACTCTAACACGGCGCGTTTAGATACCATTTTGAATCATAGCTCATTACAGAGTGGATGAAATGCTGAGCAATTTCTTTGTTAACAGTATGGAAGTCTGATTTTTAGTTTCTGAGAGATGTAAACCAATTACTTCCTGTCCTTCAGTATCCTTTAACAACACCTCCCTTATCCCTGTTGAACAAATCCGTTACCTAGGACTCCATCTGGATAAACGACTCACTTGGAATCCTCATACCAGACTGAAACGACAAAAAGCCGCTCGACGTTTCCGACTACATCATCACTTACTAGGCAAACGCTCTAACCTTCCAATTATTTACAAAAGACTCATTTACATGACCATAATAAGGCCTATTTGGACTTACGGAGTTGAACTAGAGGGCTCTACCAAACCTTCAAATTCCTCTCGTATCCAATCCTTACAATCCAAAATCCTTCGTAAAATTCTCAATGCTCCCTACTTTGTTACAAATAAAATCATCCATAATGACCTTAATGTTCCTTATGTATCAGATTTGGCCCAATCTAGATATCTGTCCTTCCATAATAAACTTCATAACCATCCCAACCCTCTTGTTTCTAATCTTGCTTCCTATTCAATTCCTGATGACCCTCCGAGGCGTCTGAAAAGAAGATGGCCACGTGATCTCCTAATGTAGACATCTTATTAGAGTACTACCAATGGGTAGTTTCTCAACATGTGTTTCATGTCACTAATTCCATGTACGAATTTACTAGATGTATTTTTTTTTATACAGTTCTAAATATCATATAAATAATAATAGCAAAAAAAAAAGTTTGTGAGATATTTTAATCCATATGCAAAAACACTTCAATTAATCGACACCAGCCGACTTTAGTCGAGCGTCACACTACAGAGATCTGACGGCTCAATCTAATTCACTTTTCACAAAACAAGTGCAGAACGTGCCTAAACAAGTTTTTACTTCAAACAATTAAAAGAAGTTAATATAATAATCATAGTCTTTTAGGTTTAGTAATTTTATTTTATTTTTGACATGTGGACCCCATGTCATTCTTTCAAACGTCAGCTGTAAATATTGAACTTTATCTGTATGATGAATTTAGACATTCTCGTGGTAAATATGAAGACAAAGTAAGAGTGGATATAATTTGTTGTGATTTGCCTTGATTGAGTTGAATTTTCTGAAATTTGATCCAGTCCTTTTTTTTTGAGTCGTCACGGCTTCCGCTGGCTTAGATTAAGAACCAATGATGAAACCTCTGGTATTTACATCTTCTGAGGAGTTTCTTCGATTGGAGATTGAGAAGAACTTTCCCCGGTTCCAGGAATTAAATTATAGCTGGAAGAGAGCGGTGTGTTGTGTCCAGACCACCTCAACGTAATTGTCCACAGAAGAGGATCAGTGCCTTCGAATTATGGAAGCCAATATTAAGATTAAATTTAGATGACGAGGATGAAGAAGCGTGACTAGCTGTTCTGTTCATTGTATATTGTTTTACATATACCTGTGTGTTATCCTCATGCAAGAAGATTCGATCAGTTGCTCCTTCAAGAGAGATGGTTCGGCAAGGATTCCTGATAGCCTTCGAGTGTGGATTGAGGAATTAATCCTCGTTTTACTAATTTATTTTTTATTTATTTAATGAAATTTACAACTGCATAAACAATATAAGTAGTAAAAGTGCACAACTGGAAATAATGACATAAACAGACTTGAAGAGATACTGCCCAGTGGTAGCAATCCCTATTTAATTCTAGGTGAGAAGATTACGTGGTCATCTTCTTTTACTACGCCTATGGGGATTATCAGAAATCGAGAAAGAAGCAAGGCTGGAAACAAATGGATTTGGATAGGACTGGAGTTTATCATCAAAGAATAGGTATCTCTCGCTCGGGCTAAATCCGCGACATTTAACTAATTTAGTTTATTAAATGTGCTAAAAGGGCAAGAAATATTTTTACAATTCTCATAATTCAAAGTAAAATCTGACAGCTTAGAATTAGTTATCTAAAATCACTGACAGGGCACAATAAGACCCCTCATCAAGACTTAAGGAATTATAACAAATTTCGGTAAAAGGTTCTTAACGCACAGACCTCAGTTTAATAATAATTATTGATAACTTCCTTTAAAGCTCTCATTCATTCATTCGTGACTGACTTCCTTTCATTCACTTTACTATTCCTTGGTATCCGCAAGGTCCTCCGGACAAATCACTCTAGCAATTGCATTCTTATAGTCACACTCATGTCAGAAGAACTGTATTCATGATCTTGTTTCATACGTTCGCAGGAGACCTGGAGTTTACTCTTGTAGTCAGTAAGAAGTTATAATCAGTATAATCTGTATAAATAAAATAAAGATTTTGTCTGTACATTGAATAGAATCAACCCGTTTTAGGATATCTTTCCGTTTCATACATTGCAGACACCAAATCCACATTAAAAAAATGTTTGTCTGTCTGTATGTACTCATTGCAACAAAATTTTGTCAAGGGTAAGCTCAGCAATGGTTTATTGTAGACTTTTGAAATTTTGACATTACATTTAGGTTTGCTTGACTTAAAATGCAGGCTTTAAATGAAAACAAAATATTGAGTATAACCAAAGTTATGAATCCTTGAGTAATTTGTTTAGAGATCCCGGTTAGGCAGTTACTTCGATTCTAGTCCCAACATACTCTACCGCGAGCCACGTTTAAAAGTTTTACTAGTCAACTGATGGAAAAAATTATCACAACGCAACAGGAAAAATCCGGAATACCGAACATTTGTAACTTGTTGTCACACTTGTTCAACTTCTCGAGCCCAACAAAGGTATACATTTTTAAAGGAAGAAGATGGTCCGGGGTTGCGGTCATAAATAGGCTATAAATTGAGTTCTAAGTGTAACTCCTAGAATGAACACACCTCCCTGATGAAGACCTGCAAAGTCGGGTCGAAACGTCGGCTTTCAATAAAATAGTTTTACCACTTTTTAGCCTATTTATGACCGCAACCCCGGACCATCTTCTTCCTTTATAATTCAACGGTCAACTATTAAATATTCAGTATACATTTTTACTGTGACACAATATCCAAGGTTATTTTGGTTATTTTGCCAGCGATAAACTCAGCAGAGTTTAAAGAAGTGGAGAGATTACAACTCTTTTTGATTAATTAATCGACTTGACAATCTCCTCGCTACATCATAAATGAAAATTAAACACTTAACAAATTTTAATTAATTGGTGGTGGTCGGTTTAGTTGTGTGGTATCTAAACAAATAGCCGAATAACAAAGTTTTTGTTATGACTATTGCGAAATCTTGACTTCCATAAGCCTCGCCATAAAAAATTTCAAAACCACTCCGCTCTCTCCTACCTACTCAATTTTATGGAATCTAATTTGGGCCCTCCTCTTCCCATAATACAAAATCCATCTGAAATAAAGATTTTCAAATTTTAACTATATACCCTTCAACGACGAGTACATCAGCTAGTTCATAATATAAGATGTAATATGTAACAGATATGATAAATAAAAGTATTATTTATAAAGTGTTAACAGTCTGGGGTTCGTTAATTTAGGAATCTTAATAAGCCTTCCGTATCCAGGATTATTATTGTACTAGTAGCTTCGAGGAAGCACTTCTGATTTTTCGTATCCAGGAATTCGCCTATGCGATGCTTTGCATTATTGCTACATGTGATTTAACCGCCAATTCCAATCCTATCGTGTTAAAAGTATAGTTTTTTTTTATCAGAGAGACCGCGAGTCGACTACTCGAACCCTTTATCAGTGGCGGAGATAGGTGGGAGATCGCCGAGGTGGGAGGCGCCGACCAGAGGTGGGAGAGTTCAGTAGCGCGCGATGTCTGCGCCCAGCACCCCGCTCGTCGGCATGGGCTGCAGTGACGGCAAGCGGCTTGTCATCCGAAGAGTGGGAACTTCCCCGTCGGAACTCCTCAACATCGTGCCCCAGTGAGTATCCTCTATCTCTCGGGTATCCTTAGAGTCAGGGGGCGACCAGGAACCCCTGGATGTGTATTGAAACTCCTTTCCAGGTCAATATTCCAACTGGATAGTAGTGCTCGTTCGGCGATCTCGTAACGCCTGGCTGTTTACTAAGCTTCCTGGATTGCCTCATCGGCTTTCAACATGCTACTGAGTATTTCAATTTGGTTGATGATTACCAGGTCTACGTGTCTGTGATGATTTTCAGAGAGGGATGTGATGTGTGTTAAGTTGGAAGGTTACCAAAGGTTTTGTTTTGAAAGTGAAAACATCTTGAAGTGCATGTTCTAATCATTTTGCTATCTTGAGAGGTTTTAGTGTCTTGTTAAGCAATCCATCTTGAACAAATGGTCTTCGAAGAAAATCACTTGAGAAGTATTCAATAACTTGTTCTACTTTCTTTGATGTTTGCAGGCGTGCCCATGTTTCACTTATGCAACTGTATAAATATCCATTTATTTTTACCGATTACCAATAAATGAGAATTATTTATTTAACATATTTACGATAAATATATACAAAAATATATTCGATTCATTGCAAAAAGTCATTAAGTAAACTTGATACTTCGCGCCTTTTTGCAATAAACCGGCAATATTTTTTGGATGCCCTTATTCATGTAATTGTACCTTTGAAGATTATCACCTAATTTCTGAAAAGCAAAACAAAAAACTATTCAACAAAACATAAAATATTAATTTATAAATACATGTTTTGTTGACCAAGTGATATTTTATTGTGATTACCGGTATCCTATACTACTGAATCGAAAGCTAATATTAATGTCAAAATATGCCTTCATTTATGTATAAAGGATTTATATTTTGGAGATATTCAGTCGTGAAATGTTTGTATAGCGTCGGTTGTTAACGTGGACTTCTTCTTATGGTAGTGAAACATTTTGAATGCATATTTTTTAGCTTTGTATGTTTCTTTTTACTTTGTGTTCAGTGAATGTTAATGCTCTATTTAGAGTTGATGTAAGGTAATTTAAATCTTTACAGCACTTTTATTTTTCGTATTTCGTAAGAATCCGAAAAATATGCTTATATTTACTTATAATATATGTATAGAGATTATATTATAAAGATTTTTTCTACCGGCTTACCATTATATATGAGGGTCGGTTGATATCTAATAAACGTAAAATAAATAGTTAAAATATAAGTTCAGTCAGTTATTTTGTTTTTCCCAAATTTTTAAACTTGAGCTTGGGTTTCCTTTTTTTTTTTTTGTTCTTTAGCCTTAATTAAAATATGATTTTTTTCTAAAATATCAAAGCAAAATAAATAGTTCTTAACAATGATGTGATCCATGCCCAAAATTCTATGTTATAAAAAAAGTAGACGCTCTCTTGTAAACTTATTGCAGCTATATTAATAAATCATTATAAGATGTTTCTGATATTTAATGCACCATAGTCAGTTAAACATCTTATTTACAACTCATATGGTCTGAATTACTAAACCAGCTGTCTAATTATAACACCGGTTAGCCGATTTTTTGTTTTGTTTACTCTTAAGGACGTCGAATCAGACGTTTCTTCTTGACATTGTCGTGGAAGTACAAATAGTGTGATGGCATTCTCTTATATTTGAGTGAGATGTTATGTTTTATTTTACAACTAGATATTATTATCTCCATTCCATTTACTTATATCATTGTTTTATAATCAGATAACTGTATAAATAACATACATACTTTTATCACAATCACTGCACGTGGTCTCGACTGATCATAAGCAGAAGGTGAATATAAATTGTTTTGTGAATTCCCTGTGGTTTACAGGTGGTTATCCATTAATATCGGTATAATGAAGCTTGTAAAGTCAGCGACTTTACTCTTTTTTTTTCCTGGTGATTTTATCTTTAAAAATATTTAACAGATGTACCGTTGCAATTGATCTAAGGAGCCGATTAACAAATATAAAACTCTTAAAAATAACATTTTTTTGAATATATATACTCCTTTTATTTTAACATATGTGAACAACATAGAGAAACAAAAATGGGCAAGTGAAAAAAAAATAACACAACTACCTGTATACATTTTTAAAATTTTTATTTTTATTTATTTATTGAATATTAACACAATCTGCCATACTCAAGGGCAATAAGCATTAGAGCTAAAAGTATCCACTCATTCAATATATACATACAAGAAAAATAAACGCAGATAATTAAATTTAAAAAAATAATAATAATAGTAAAAAAAAATTAATAAATAAATAAAATTCTTCTTAAACTCATTCACACCTATATACAATATTTGCATTTGCCGAAGAGACTCCGTGCCAGGCTTTGTCTTAAACAGGAAAAAAGTGGAAGGCAAACCTTGGGTCGAGGAGGTAGGTCCCAGCGCATCTCTTCCAGCCGCGTCACTGGACTGGAGGCCAGTGGAGACTGAGAGAGGGCACTTGAGCCACAAACTTCCAGACATTCAGGAAAGAAGCTGGCCATTGTCAGGACTCCATTAACATATTTACAAAAGGTCTCGAGACCACTGCCGTTTCAACCTCCGGGGAGGTTTGCCCACCGATCTTCGTAGGAACTGCATTTTTTTGCGACTATAATGTTTGTCCAGCTTTCTCCGCCGTAGATTAGAATAGGCAGGTACACTGACTTGTAGACGTGCATCTTGCTTGGTATTTTTATCTACTTCACGGCAGCTGAGGATACTGTTAGCGATCTGGTGATATACTTGATTCGCCTTAGATATTCTATACGAAATCTCAGCATCTATCTTACCAGCGTTAGTAATTATAGTACCTAAGTTAGTGTAATCCTTCTCTACCTCAAGAATTTCTCCGTTGCAAACCAATTGGACGTATTCCTCTTCTGCTCTAGCCATAATCATCACTTTACTCTTGGAGGCATTTATTCGCATACGTTTCTTCATCTGCAAATAAAAAGCTCTGTACGAGGACAGTTCTAACATTCCAGTTTCCAATTGCAGTCCATGCAGTCCGACGCTTGCAGATTCTATGGATCTCGTCCATAAAGTTTATAAATAGGAGGGGGCTTAAACTGACAGTAGTCATGTCCAAAAAAACTAAGAGAAGTTCTGAAATTTCTCTGTTGTTTTTTGCATATATCTCGGAAGACATCAAATTAATTAACAAATTAATTTTAATGTAAAAATTAATAATAAATGTAAAATTTCTTTCGGGTATATCAAATTCACATTCAGCATACAAAAAAAAACAGTTTTAAAAAAACCGAAAAGAAAACGACTATTTGAATTTTTTTCCCCATTCCATTGAACTAATTTGATGACTTTTACGACGTCAATCTTTAGTGCCAAACGAAAAAATGATAGCATGGTGCTTCTAGTTTTAGTTTTATTTATGATTTTTCTTTAGAATGCGTTGTTTCGGAGTTATAAGCGAAACACAGAAAAAACTTCCGAAATTTTATGGGTTTTTTTTTTTATTTCTAAAGTGAACCTTATGCATTATTGATAATTTTTCGGGAATCGCGAAAAATTATATTTTTCTATTTCAATCTTAATATTAAAATTAATATGGTTTTATTTAATAATTTTAGACCGCAAGTAACCAATTAAATACGTTTTTTTATTGGATTTCTATATTTGCCAACGTTTGGGCTTATAGAACCATTTTGAAGAAGCTATCATGAACCATTTTATACACAATTTTTTATATAATTGTTATTCTCTTTGTCCGGTGAGCCATTCTTTCTTTCAGAGAATGTCGTTGTAATTTCTAGTTTGTCGAAAACATAAAGTCTGATTTTATTTTACTCTCCGTTCACTCAAGACTGTGAATAGATCCGTTGAGTGAACGGACAGTAATGTAACATCAGACTTAATTTAATGTCTTCTATTAAATAAAAATCACAACGATTTCCTCAATTTCCGAAAATAAAGGTCATCACCAGACAGAATGTATAAAAATGGTATTAATTTTTTTTTTTTTTTTTAGTATAAAATGGTGCATAATACATGATACATTCTTGAAAATTTCTTAGGAAACTGAAATGGTGGCAAATAAATGAATAATAATCAGATATGAAACCTTATTTTATTGGGAATCTGTAACCTAAAATCCATTAAATAAAAACATAATAAAATGGCACCGAACGTAAAAAATATGACAAGAAAAATAAAATCAATATTTATTAATTAATAAATTTAAAAAAATATTTATTAAAAACATTTAAACCTAATTAGGGCCGCTATTTGAACAAATTATTCTTTAAAATCGGTTGTAGAATGAAACAAGGTTATTTAGGATTCGGTCTGAAGATAAAACATGTTGTATGATTGTACTATAAAATTTAACTTTTGTTTTTACAATATGAATGAATGAATGAATGAAAATAATTTCATTATTCTGGGATCTTTAGAAGAAGTTACAAGTACAGAACATATATTAATATATATTTGGTGTGTCCATAAAATACAATTAAATATTTACTGGATGATTAGGAATACAATAAAATTATAGATAATAAAAAGATATAAAAACGTGTATAAATATGATACTATAAAATTAATTTTCATTCGATTAAAAGGGTAAAAAAGCTTTTGATGTTTCTGTTCTAAATACTATAAAATGTAAGCATATTAAAAAAAGGATTTAGAAATATACTTTTGTAAATATTTAGGTTTGTTTTAAAAAAAAATATTATTCCACCGCCGGATTCATTGTGTGTTTCTTACATATAAATCCATACAATATTATCGATTAGGATTATTGTAAATAAACCGCCCATTTATAATCATGGATTAATGTTTGGAAAAATAAACAAATAATAATAAAGGAAGCTACTTGTGCCGTTTCGTTTATTCTGTCCTACCTTATCATCAAAACTAATATTATGTTTATCCTGCATTATATTTTTATCCCATAGTTCAAAATATACCTGTCGTTTATCCAATTTATTTAAACTTTGTCTTATCGATTTATTGAAGTGAAAACTTCTTTAGGCGCGTTTTGCACTTCT